CCCGTATTGAATTGATGGAAAGATGATGAAATCTTGTGTCTTGTAGCCTCCAATGCTCTTCAAAAGCTTCTTAGGTTAAATTGTCAAAAGTCCTCTAAAAATCGTATTTTTGGTGTATTTATACCATGTAGGAACCCGGACGAAACTACCATTTCCAAACTGAAATGGGATAATTGGACCGCAAAAATACACTGGCACGGTGCCCCATGCGACACATTAGTGAGGATTTCCAGAGAGTTGATTAGGGTTGTAGGTTAGGAGGTAGTTGAGTATTTTTCTACTTCGTACTATGTGTGAGGCTAGCCTGATAAGCTTTCGTCTTAGATTGCTAGTGGTTAATATTGTATTCACACAATTCTTCCATTTTTCATAGTATGGGGCCTTATTTACTTGTTATTATATTGCTTTTCATTTATTTCTGGTTCTTATGTCGCTGTTACTATTTCTATGGTTTCTGTTGATGGTACTGATGTATTTTTTTCTTTTCATCTTCTTGAGCCGAGGGTCTTTCGGAAACAATCTCTCTACCCCCTTGGGGTAGCGGTAAGGTCTGCGTACTCACAACCCTCCCCAGACCCCACTTGTGGCATTTCGCTGGGTTGTTATTATTGTTGTTGTTGTTGTTGTTGTTGTTGTTATTATTGTTGTTGTTGTTGTTGTTGTTGTTGTTGTTATATACATATTACCAAATTCAGTGGGTCTATTTGTTATGTATTATATGTTGTTGCTCGTCATGTATGTATGTGTATATTCGAATATATTTTGTAATTGTCTAGCTAGTATAAAGTTCGGTCGACTAACTTAAGAGTGCACAATGCATAGGCATTTGATTAAAGCAAAGTTAAATTCGACACTGCAAAGTCTCGAAGGAACTTCAACTTCTATCACTGATATGTTAGGATCGAAAAAATCAGGTGTCATGCAGAAGCTAGCAAGCAAACCTTGAGCGACGATAACTCGGATAACAAAAGAAAAATCTACCAAAAGAGACACAAACATTTAACGCGGTTCGGTCAACTGACCTATATCCACGACGGAGATGAGCAATCCACTATATAAAAGAGAGTACAAAATATCGAGAGAACAACCTCACGAAGAGGCAAACACAAGTGACATACTAACACTTGTCCCGTAAAGTTCTATCCCTAAAACACGACTCTCAAACCCCATGTGACTACATTATTGATGGTACTAAATGAGAAGAACGGATCTTCAATTTATAGAACTCCAAACCTTTTTCTACAAGAAAAGGGACTAGCCAAATATGAAAGAATTATAGTTTCCCTTTAGGAAAAGAAAATTCCAATTATGATAAATATGTTGTCCTTTCCTTCATAAGATAGGAAAACCAATTATGGTGAGAAAATCTGGACAAACACCTAACAATTCTCCCCCTTGGCCTAAATTTTCTGACAAAATAAACTTGATCCGCCTTCTTCGTATAGCCTTCAACAGGGTCGCATTTCCAAATCTCGAGCACGAAGTTGTCTCAACGTGCGTAGCACACCGGTCAAATTTCTCAGACAAAAATCACGATTATCGTCAACTATGTTGCAGCTAGAACTCACCCCGCCAAGATGAACCTGTCTTGAACCTCGCTCTGATATCACTTGTTAGGACCGAAAAAATCAGGTGTCATGCGGAAGCTAGCAAGCAAAACTTGAGCGACGATAACTCAGATAACAAAAAAGAAATCTACCAAAAGAGACACAACATTTAACGTGGTTCGGTCAAATGACCTACATCCACGGCAGAGATGAGCAATCCACTATATAAAAGAGATTATAAAATATCGAGATAACAACCTCACGAAGAGGCAAACACAAGTGACACACTAACACTTATCCCGTAAAGTATTCCCCCTAAACACGACTCTCAAACCCCATGTGGCTACATTGTGGATGCTACTGAATGAGAAGGATGGATCTTCAATTTATAGAACTACAAATATTTTCCTACAAGAAAAGGGACTAGCCAAATATGGAAGTATTATATTTTCCCTCTAGGAAAAGAAAAATCCAATTATGGTAAATATGTTTTCCTTTCCTTCATGAGATAGAAAAACCAATTATGGTAAGAAAATCTTGACAAACACCTAACAATTCCCCTCTTTTGGCCTGAATTTTCTGAAAAAATAAACTTGATCCACCTTCTTCGCATAACCTTCAACAGGGTCACATTTCCAAATCTCGAGCACGAAGTTTGTCTCAACGTGCGTAGCACACCGGTCAAATTTCTCAGACAAAAATACGATTATCGTCAACTATGTTGCGGCTAGAACTGAACCCGCCAAGATGAACCTGTCTTGAACTTCCCTCTGATACTTGTTAGGACCGAAAAAATTAGGTGTCATGCGGAAGCTAGCAAGCAAACCTTGTGCGACGATAACTCAGATAACAAAAGATAAATCTACCAAAAGAGACACAACATTTAACGTGGTTCGGTCAAATGACCTACATCCACGGCGGAGATGAGCAATCCACTATATAAAAGAGATTATAAAATATCGAGATAACAACCTCACGAAGAGGCAAACACAAGTGACACACTAACACTTATCCCGTAAAGTATTCCCCCTAAACACAACTCTCAAACCTCATGTGGCTACATTGTGGATGCTACTGAATGAGAAGGACGGATCTTCAATTTATAAAACTCCAAACATTTTCCTACAAGAAAAGGGACTAGCCAATATGGAAGAATTATATTTTTCCCTCTAGGAAAAGAAAAATCCAATTATGGTAAATATGTTATCCTTTCCTTCATGAGATAGAAAAACCAATTATGGTAAGAAAATCTTGATAAACACCTAACAATCCCCCCCCCCCCCTT